GGCTGTTGCTCTTAAAGTAACAGCATATGAGAACTGTTTTGTTGTTCCTGGAATGCCAATGCTGCTGGGGCACCAGCACTGCTCCTAACTTGGCGCTCAGGGTGGGTGTCCCTCTCACCCACCCCTAGTTACACTGCTGTGCTAGACCAAACCTGAGGTCCATCTAGCCCAGTATCCTGTTTCAGATGGTGGCAAGTTGCAACTTAGAGGAAGAGTATTAGAAACAGGTCTCATCTGAAGTGATCTGTTTACTTTTGTACACTCCCAGTAACAAACAGCAGGTTAGATCCCTACTGTTGCTTCTAAAAAGACCTTGATAGAGCTATCCTCCATAGGTTTGTCATATCTCTTTTTGAACCCATTATACTACTGGTCTCCATAGCATCCTGTGGTAATGAGTTCCATATTTAATTATGCATGATATAAAAAGAGTATTTTCTGATGCTTGTCCTAAACACTTGCTACGTAATAATTTCTTTGGCTATCTCTTAAATGCTGCTAGAAAGAATATCTGACTTTGGATCACATCAGTATTATCCTGCTGCAAGGCTCATTGTGCAAGAGACTGACCAAGAAGGCTAACAAGAAAAATACAAAATCATTTCCAGTCATGCCATCCAATCTAAAAATGCTTCACTACGGTTTATTTCTATAAAACATGGGTGTCAATCGTAAGGCCTGTGAAACCTCTTTATCTGGTCTGTTGGTCTACCAGCAGGCACCAGAAGTTGAGGCATGGTTGCCTCAGAATTCAGGACCTTTTAGCCCCACTAGGGATTGCCACTGATGGTGAGCTTGGTCCACCAATGCTATCCCAGACACGATCCTTCAGACCTCTTGCTGCTTGACCCTTTGCTACTGCCTGACATGCTACTGCTACTGTCACAATGGCTATTGTGGCAGCCTTCGTGTCCCAGATTCATTATGCCCACAAGAAGCTCTGCAGTCTAGACATGGCCCAGGGTCCTGGGTGAATTCATCATCCTTGCTTTAAAATGTTCCATGTGTGAAAATGTAATACGAAATCAAAAAGCTGGGATAGCCACATAGTCGGTTTAATTACATATATCAAGATAGGATGCAGGTAATACTTAGATTTCTTGTCATATCCAGAACTCCAAGGAAATGGAGTATCTCTTAATGCAGCTTTCATCTTCCTTTCTTGATCTATACTATTAGATCATATTTCTGTCTGGAATCATCATTAAAAAAAATGAATATGCTAGGCATTATATTGCACAACTGCCCATTTCATATCAATGGAAATTTGGAAGGATTTTTCAGGTAAGCTTAAATACTACTTTGTAATCTTTTTTTTACCTGCATATTTTGTTCCTATGAATTATTCTATAGGTCATCAAAGGCAGTGATAAAAATGATGACAGTTCATTGTTTCAAGGCAACTTCAAACAGAAGTACACACTACGATTGGGTGTCTACAGAATTTTTACCAAGTAATAAAAACCCTTGTGGGTATAAACTATGGAAGTTAGGAAGACTCAGGGTCAACGTTTTTTGATGGGTTACATTGTTTTTCTAGCACTTGTAACTGAGGCAATCAATTCATTGGGCAAGAGGCTAGAAAACCTGACTGCCAGGCCCTCATAGTTCCAGCCACTTCATCAAGGAACTTTAAACATGAGAGGTCAGCGGCTCAGCTCCTGGACTACTGCAGATGTCAGACTGCAAACACAGTAGACCTGTCACACAGGCATCTCAATTTCTTCCATTCCCACAAACCAAGCTGCACCTAAACTAGTTTTTCTATTGAAAACCCTCCTCTCCCTTGCTGAGACAGCATGGTAGATTGATACCTCCAGCTCTGTTCCCTTGCACTATGTCTTGACACAGCTGTCATGCCTCCCTTTCGCTATTCTTTTCTCTTTGGAGTCTCTCTCTCCTTGACTCCTTATCTTTCCTATTCTTTACCTTCCTTTGCTGACACTTCTTCTACCCTCTCTTATTCCTCTGACATCACTCTCTGATCCTTCACTTACTAGGTGTCTGCATGCACTTTGGGTTGGGACATACAATGGTGCCACCCAAAGCCAGAATAGTCAGAGTAGAAGAGAAGAGCAACCAAAATGTATGTCTGCACCCCCTGCCCTTCAGATACATCAGGTGCAGCAGGTGCAGGAAGTGGAGGCTGTTTTTAAGGCAATGGTGAGCAATTCATTCAGCTGAAGGGCCGCTTAATGAGTTTTGGTGAGCTGTTGGGGGTCACAATGGTAGCCCCACCCTTTGACAGGTGTCCTGCTCCCTGGTCACTGTCTTGGAACCAGAAGTCCAGCCCCTAACCCCTGACCTTTGCCAATGAGAGTCCCTCCCCTTGCCCTGGAATCATAGCTTAGAACCGGAAAAAAATAAATCATACTAAAAATCAAACAGCTACTATAACATTTTAATTTAAAAAAATATTTTTGTCCTGATTTACATGTGTTTGTATAACATATATAGAGGCAATTGCATAATAGCTCAAAATAAAGTCTTACTCTTGTATATTGTGTGGGGGTATAGGTGTATGTGGATAGGTGTGGAGGGTACATAGGGTTCCTGCACGATACAGCCAGAAGCTTGGGCCTGCTCTCTGTCACCACATGCAGCTCCCGGAGCTTGGCTGGGATGGCATGAACAGGGATCAAACTGGCCTGGTTCCATCATGCAGAGTTCCCTGCCACTACCAGAGGAGTCCTGGGAGCTGTACATGGCATCAGGGAGCAGGGAAAGCTGCCTTGCTCACACAGGGCTCCCTGCGGCAGTGCATGGCTCTGGCTGTGTCCTGGGAGCTGCACACAAGCCACAGGGAGCCCAGTGCAAAGGAACTGGGCTGGCCCTGCACTCCCACTGACCCAGGCTCCATGCTCCTACCACCCTACCCAGCGTGGGCCCCACGCTCTTGGCTCTGCGTTTCCACTGGCCCCGCCCCATGCTCCCACTCCCTGCTGCCACTTCCCTATCTGTTGCCCAAAACGCTGCAGCAATAACAGGAGGAGGAGCTAAGCAGTTGCTTGGGCAGCTGCAACAGTGGCAGCAACAGTCCCACTTGGAAGCTGTGTGCACTGCCTGGGGCTGGGGCTGGGGCCGGAGCCCTCCCATGGGTGAAGGTGGGAGCACAGCGTGCTGGCCCGGCAGGAGTGGGCAGGGCTCAGTCCCATGTGGAGCACAGGAGGGGCAGCTGCAGGCCAGGCCAGATGCAATTATTTAGTGGGCTGGATCCAGCCTGAGGGGCTGTATTTTGCCCACCCCTATTTTAAGGAGTTACAGAATAGCATATTTGTGGTGTTTTGGGGAGTAACAGTAGAATTGGGGTCTTGAAGATCTTATTATGAAAACTGAACCTCCCTTTTAACACACCACTTTCAACCTATGTGGCACTCCTTGTATGGCCTGCCTCTCTACAATGAGCAGAGCAGTTTCAGAAAAGTAGGAAAACTATCATTATTCTCTTACTTCAGGGTATTCCAATTGCTGCAAAGGCCATAAAGAAATCTTCCCTTCCATGGACAGCACTGCACAGCTGCTTTGGTGCATTATGTTTTATTTGGTTTCCTTCTCCTGAAACATAAGTTATTGTGCACTACTGGAAGAAAGATGATGGACTTGATGAATCAGTTGTCTGATCTGATATGGCAAGTCCTCTGTTCCTAACAAAAAGACATAGTTTATGCTTTGCTGTAATGTTCCTCTTAACAGCATTTTAGTGTTCACAGTCCCTTAGGAACAACTGACTGCTGACAATACAGGTGTAAGGACTTTACTACATCTCCTATATTCCAGAAACATGATCTATCATAACAGCCACTAGAGGATTTCGCTGCTCAACCATTATCATGTGAATATACAGAACATGTGTTGGTATATGGACCTTAATTTTAGGAAAAAAAATTCTAGTTTGCCTGTCAAACTATAAAACATGTGCAGATGGTCACAACTCCTTACAAAATGTGAAGAAGCCACAGGATTGAGGAAAGGATACCAAGAGTACTTGCAAAAGGCAGTACGGGATGACTAATATTATACCCTGATAGTGCATTCTTCATTCCAAATGATTCTAAAATACCCCAAGATGCATACGCATGTGTGCACACAGAACAATGAAACGGAGGTGACTCTGGATGAATGTTAAGCAACTGGATCAAGTGGCACAAGCAACCTACTACATAGCATAATTAAAAAAAAATGACAGAGACAAGATGATTGTACTACTTTAAAATGAAAACAAAACAAAAAACCTAAGGTATTTTTAATGTCCATGCAGACAAGACAAGGCCTTAGTGCTAAAAGGTTTTTTTATGGTTTGGTAAATGGCCAGGAATTCAACCTATTTATGTCCCTCAAAAAGAAGAGGGACTGATTCAACCATAGTGCAGCTAGAACCACCAACTCCAAGGAGATTACTTTATTTCACATCAAGGTTTAAAATAACCATGCCATCCCCTCCAGTTGCACATTACAATACATGTGTTTTTCAGTTAATCTCTCTTCCAAAGCCATACTATTCTTGCAAATCTTGTAACATGTAAGTAACAAAGCAATGGTGAAAAATTAGTTTCCCTTTACCCAGGAGGCACTCAAAGATATCAAACAATTTGAGAGGGCAATTGTATATTTGCCTTTTTATATGCTCTATGTCCATCTAGAAAGGCATGTGAAAAAACTATAGAACACTATAAAAACCTGCATTACAAATTAAACAAAGATTAGTACTTTGAATGAAGCAAACCCTGGTTTTTATACATACATGAGTACACTACAACCAGGAAGCCTCTTGGGCTAGAGCACAAGATAATACTCTGAATTTCATGCACCACTGTGTTACTTCAGTTTTATGCTGGATTACATTGACCACAATTGAGTTATACTGGCACACAAGACAATGGTATATCAGATTCCTTGTGTAAAACTAAGAATTAAGAGATCTGGTCACAGATGTGATCTTATGACTAGAGACACCAAACTGCTTTAGAGAAGGGGTGGAGCATGCAAGTAACAGGACTTACCTAAAGCTCTCTGGGTACTCAGTGAGAGCCATGTTGATGATATCCAGTGCATGATGATACTGCTTTTGGGCTGAAAAAAGGAGGGCCAACAGATGAAGTGAATTTATATCATCTTTGCACAGTTTCAGTGCTTCTTGGAGGTGCTCTATTGCATCAGTAATCTGAAAAAACAAGAAACGTTTTCCCACCAATCACATATCTGACCTCTTCCCCAAAGCTATGAGCACATATAGCTGTTGGAAATCTTGACATCTTATTGGGAACACTGTAGAAAAACAGACTTTTGTAAGCACTTTAACAGCCAGCCCAAGCTAACAGACTGCATAGCCAGTGAAGCACAATTAAAAATCTTGAAGATGAAGAGTTTTTATACCACTATAAAGCAGCTGGCATGCAACTACTACTACGAGATATCAGAAGGGGTAGGAGACATAGCCCAATGCTCCCCCTGTTTTAACACTGTGGTTGGGTGCTGTGTGCAGCCCCATTAGTTATGCCCTAAACATACAACATTCCCAGTTTCATGATGTAGCTTAGGGAACTGTGACAGTTTCTTTGCTCAGTGTCAACACATACATTTCTGTTGTACTTGGCCTCTTATGACAGCTACACAATGCCCTTCACCATTTAGCCCAAGACAAGAAAAGTAGATTATGAAAGTCCAAGGGTTAAATATGCTTAAGGTTCAGAATGCTGTCAGGAAAGAGAAATGTTCCTTGTCTGCTCAGTAAAATACAGTCCTGACATCCACCACAACAGTATGTCATTAGAATCACATCCTATATGGTAGAAACCTTAACAAGTATCACATGTGCAAATATGCCATGAAATCTGTGGTCATATATCCTATCTTCACATTGTCTGTTCAAAAAAAGGAATGTCTGAACGCCACGTTTGTCCTTTGATCACTTGTAAGTTTTGTGGGAGAACTTTGTTGGGCACAGATGTTGGGCACTGACCATTTCGAGCAAACATGCCTCTCTATGGAGGTGAATAGGTGAGAGAGACAAGGGGAAAGAGCAGTGAACCCAACATCGCTTCTCTTGCAGGCCACGGTGTTTGTCCATTTACATGCGCAGAGCTAGATTGTGCCAGTTATGTATGTTCCAGAGTAGAAAGTGTTATCAAGCCATATCACCCCTATGCTTAGTAAAGTGTTGCACCTCAAGATGGCACACTCCCAGCCAGGTATGAGGTGCTGCAGCTGATTTACCCCAGGTGCATGCAATCTGCTGTAAGCAAGGCTCTTCTTCCTTTTGCCTACACTGGAGAAGGACAAAGGGAACACTCCTTTATGAATATATGGAGAAACCCTCCTTCCTGCAAAATCTATGGACTACTCACCCCTAAAGAATTGCAAATCAAACTCCCTCACTCCCCTTTGTACTGCTGTAAAAAAAAAATCTAGTGCAGGGACCACAGACAGGAGAGCTTTTGTTACACTACATCAACAGTTATAAATAACACTGCAGGTATGATTGAGGCATACCAATTAACTCAGTCAAAACAGTACCATAACCCAGGCTTTACTATCTTTCTCAAAGTTGATCATTCAGACGCTGACACTTTTCCTGTTTACTTCCTCCAAAACTAAAAATGTCCACATTGCCAAGTTGTGGGCGAAACGAATTAATTAGAAAAATACAGGAACTCCTCTCCCTGCCCTGAGATTACAGAGAGCCTTGAATGTCAGTACAGATAAATTTAAAGGGGGACAATTTGCACCTACCCTCTTATTAATGTCACCACAACATTTAAGAATGCATTACATCTGTGGGCACAAATTTGATTCGTGAATCAGCCTGCTTATGTTTTATGAAGGCAAACTGCTATCCCCACAATTCTGGCATATGATTTAATGGAGGCTGATTGGCACTTTGCCCTACAAAAGGAAATCAGAAACTCTCCATACAGCTTTAGCTGCAATGAGGTACCCTGAAGTCAGTCCCAGTCACCTTTTCAGACTCTCGGGCTGATTGTCTCATGATGCCAAAAAAACATCGCCTAAAACTTATTTTTCATTCATCTGTGGATTAGGCCTTTCCTTTCAGTGGTTATATGTCTGGTGACTAACTTTTCCGCTTAGCGCTACCTGATCAAAGACCTAGAAGCACAGCTATATTACTTGTTAGATTTCTCCTTACTCAAAATTTAGTTCTCATCTAATACAGCAGATTAGAAACGCACTCCGGAGAAAAAAAAATATAATTGCATTTATTTGAGCAGGTAAAGAAGCTACCTTTCATCTGTTTAAGCTAATGTCTCTCTAATTAACAACTATTTTTCCTTCCAACAAAAATCGAGCACTTTAATTAGAAGGTAGTCTTGGTCTCTGAGTTGCAAGCAATGGTTTGATTTCGAATATTACTCATGCTTGCCTGCCACATGATTGTTTAGCTAAAGCCAGAAAGTTTTTCAGCACTGTAACAATATTACTAGCCCACACAGAGTCCTCCCACTACTGCACAATTAGAAACAGTGGACAAACACAGCTAAGAAAAAGAGCATGCAATAGCATCAACATGCTCTATTCCTTTGCTGCAAGCCTTAAACAGGTCAACCTGGAATAGGCCAAACTTCTCAGAGAAGTTGTGAGGCAAATTTCCAGAACAATAAACCATGTTTGGCAGGAGTCAAAGCAAACTTCTTTGGAAAGGCAGAGACCAGCTCTCTATTGACAGATGCCACAGCTTATTAATTTAAGTAGCTATGTAACATGAGAAACATGGAAGCTGGCAGCCCAGATGGTGTTCTGAAACCTCAGGGCTGTATCATACGTATGTTGCCAGCTTAAATTCCCTGCCAATGCTGAGATTAACAGCAATTCTATCTTAGCTGGACCATGAATCCTACTGGGGCCTACAACAGGAAGATGCTACTTTCACCCAATTCATCATTCAGTTAATAAACCAGAAACATTTTGCAGAGAACATGTGCATACTTTTATTTATGTTGTAATGACTAAGCAGCAAAGATATTGCTATAAAACACAAATGGAGCCTTTCAACACTGCCAAAATAGTGCTGTGAACAGGGATATGCAGATTGCAGCCTCTTATTTTGACATTACTATGCATTTGTTTAACAAACAACGCTGGGAGTTATCCTTACCTTCCTATTTATATGCACAGAGTATGAAGATTTAAAAAAGCAATTTGCAATAGCAAAATACATTTGTATACTTACATTGGTTCAGCAACAAAATTTCAAATTTTCAAATGCAGTGAGAAATAGATGTCAAGTCTCTGAAGCTACATTGATTATAATTGGCTGACCAGCCCCAGTCTGGCTAACTTTGATATCAGCTGTGAATTAGAGATGATTAACTACAAATATTTGGTAAGACTTCCATATTTTTAGTATTTGTAGGATGGGACGTTAAAAGAAAGGAGGAATTTATAGCAGAATCTCCAAAGAGAAAAAGAGGCCTGGTCCAAAATACAACCTTTAAAAGAAGGGACAACCAACACAGGTTCATTAGAGGCAGGTCCTGTCAGACCAACCTAGTGGCCTTCTATGACCAGGTCACAAAATCCTTGGACCCAGGGGTAGAAGTTGACATAGTCTTTCGGGACTTTAGGAAGGCCTTCGACATTGTCTCTCACCCCGTTCTCATTAAGAAACTGAGGGACTGTGGCGTCGACACCTACACAGTCAAATGGGTCACTAACTGGCTGGAGGGCCGCACCCAGAGAGTGGTGGTGGACGGGTCATTTTTGACCTGGAGGGATGTGGGCAGTGGGGTCCCCCAGGGCTCGGTCCTCAGGCCCGCACTGTTCAACATCTTCATCAGCAACTTGGATGAGGTGGTAAATACCACCCTGTTCAAATTTGCAGATGACACTAAGATGTGGGGGGAAGTGGGCGTGCTGGAAGGAAGGAATAGGCTGCAATCAGACCTAAACAGGTTACAGGGGTGGGCGGATGAGAACAGGATGGGTTTCAACACTGAAATGTGCAAGGTGATGCACCTGGGGAGGAAGAACCAGCAGCATGCCTACAGGCTGGGGAACTCCCTTCTCGTCAGTACAGAGGCAGAAAAGGATCTTGGAGTCATTATTGATGCCAAAATGACCATGGGCCACAAATGTGGGGACACGGTCAGGAAGAACCTTGTCCACAGATGCATCTCAAGCAGGTCCAAGGAGGTGATCCTCCCCCTCTATGCGACACTGGTCAGGCTGCAGCTGGAGTACTGCG